TTTATAAAGAATATCTCTTTGGATTTGAGACTTTAGTCTTTGCAACTTTACAGATCTTCTTTATGCACCAAGAGCTTGTAACACTCCAGAGAGAAAGGAAAAATTGAAATCGCATCATATGACCCCTTTAAAAGCAGCTTCCCTTTTTTTTACATTGATGGTGAAAAGAATTGTTTCTTGAGCAGCAATCAGCATATTAGATTGATTTCTGAAGGATCATGTGACACTGAAGACTGGAGTAATGATGCTGAAAATTCAGCTTTGCCATCACAGGAATACATTTCATTTAAAGCATACTAAAACAGAAAAACGTTAGCTTAATTTGTAATTGTAAATTGTTTTTACTGTATATTTGATCAAATAAATGCAACCTTGGTGCGCATAAGAGACTTCATCATAAGAGACTTCTTTCAAAAACATTAAAATATCTGAAATTCGATACTTAAAAAAAAAAAAAATAATCAGTTTCATTTTTTTTTTTTTTATATACAGGTACCAGCCAGGCAGTATTGGCTCCAGTGGTGCTAATGAGAAGTCAATGGAACTACAGAGGCTGGAGGCTAAAGGAGGCATGGCAGATGTGGATAGCGGGGATGAGTACGGCCAGGAGCTGGAGACAACACCCCTTAAGGAGAGGTTTTCCATCAGGATGCTGGTGCAACCCATCTGTGATGTACCCACCAAGATTTCAGGCATCATTGTTTACTCTGCAACTGGCACCATATGTAAGCATTTTCATTAACCCAGTTTATGATCTACCCTTTTTGCTGCAACATGTAGCTGTAATGTAGAGCTCAGGGAAATGTAAACAGTATGTAGTGAATGTAGTGAACAGGCAGATAACACTCCTTTCTTTTTCTGTTCAGCTGTGGTGTTCACTCTGCTGTGTGTGGTGCTGGCAGTGTACGGAGAGCAGGTGGGGAAGGGCAGCCCTCTTTACATCACTTTGGTTGTTCTCCTGTCTGTTCTGTCTTCTGTCTGCATCTTCATCATCTGGCGACAGCCCCAGAGTAAAGAGGTTCTCACTTTCAAGGTACAGATGTAATTTACAAAGCTACGCTATTATCCTTGTGCTTTGTTAAATTGAGAACGTCAGATCTTTAGGTGGTTATAATAATAATCTCTCAACATTTTGTAGGTGCCTTTGCTCCCCATTCTGCCATTGGTCAGTATCTTTGTAAATATTTACCTCATGATGCAATTGGATGGACCTACATGGGTTCGTTTCGCAGTATGGATGGTTATTGGTGAGTTATAGCATGTGAAATCATGTTGTCATGTAACTGTGTGTTAAATGTATGCTACCATTCAAAAGTCTGGGGTTAGTAAGAAAGAAATTCATACTTTTAGAAAGATTCATTAAATTGTTCAAATGTGACGGTAAATACATTTATAATGTTCCAAAAGATTTCCATTTCAAATAAATTCTGTTCTTTTGAACTTTCTATTCATTAAAGAATCCTGGTAAAAATATATCATGGTTTCCACAAAAATAATAAGCAGCACAACTGTTTTCAACATTGATAATAATTCATGAGCAGCAAATATTAGAATGATTTCTGAAGGATCGTGTGACACTGAAGACTGGAGTAATGATGCTGAAAATTCAGCTTTGCATCACAGGAATAAATTACATTGTAAAATTTATTGACATAGAAAACTATTAGATTTTAAGTTGTAATAGTATTTCATGATATTACTGTTTTTATTGTATTTTTGATCAGCTTTGGTAAGCATAAGAGACTTCAAAAGCATAAAAAATTGTACCAACCCCAAACATTTGTACAGTAGTGTAATTATACGCTATCATGGGTGTTTTTTAGTTTTTCATTGTACTGTGCTTGAAAGGTTGACTTCATACCTTTGTCTCTCTTAGGTTTTATTATTTATTTTGCATATGGAATAAAGCACAGCTCTGAGGGAAAAAACAATTCCCCAGAAAAATTTTAGCCAATTTTCCAAGGAAAGAAACCAATCTACCTGACTGAAGATGAGAGTGAGGGGACCACACCTTAAGAAGAGCAGCTGGATTGGTATGGCAGCCACATTACAACCGGTTTTGTAAATTGCTGCAGTTTCACTTTTGCACCTTATAATTCTTCTAAAGTCTGCATTGAAAACTGACAAAAATGGCTTCACTCAACCATTTTTATTCAGTAGGTAAACTGTGTATTTCTTGCTAATCGTTTACCTTGTGTCAGTGTATAATGGTTCTGTAACAGTGCTACTTATGTATGTCTAGGCTTCGTTATGAAAAGAATTCTGTCTAGTCCTCCATGTACTTTGTATGCACATGTTGACAGATCAGAGATGGGGCAGAACTGTTACGCTTGAAAAAATGTTTGTGAACAGGGTGTCTCTGCCTGTGGGTGGTCATTTAGTGTGACTTCTTTCTCTCTCAATGAATGGGAATATGTTATTCATAGGCGTTGTTTAAACAGGCAGCAAAAATCTCATTGGGCGTAGCCAACTCAAGTTTTTTTTTAATAATTTATGAGGAGACATTTGTTTAACGTCCTTCATGTCCACATTTACTCGTATATCACACTGTGTCACATTCACTATGTAGTAAATGTGGTCATGAAGGACGTCCACAGCCACATTTACTGTGGATACACATACTGTGGACCTCAGCCACATTTACTCATATATCACACTGTCACATTCACTATGTAGTAAATGTGGCTGAGTCCCTTTCCATTATACTGGCACTTACATCATTACTATAGTATCCAGTTTAGGCAAACAGATCAGAATTCATCCTTTGCAAAATGATAGTGAGCACAGTCAGAAAATTCACATTTAAAGACCAAATTAGATTTGTGTGCTGTGTGAACAAACCCAATATATTTTTATTGGACCAGAGAGAATTGAGAGAGTGTAAAATAACATGTGCATTATTGTTTTGAAATCAAAACGTCCTTGTAGTACTTAATTTTATAAACTTGACATGATTGGGAAAAGTGATACATGAAAAATATTTTTAAAACTACCTTGGATTTTGTCAGTAGTTTTCTATTTGTAAAAGTATGTTCTTGTATATTTTTGTAAATGTAGTTATGTACCAGCGGGAGGAAAATGTATTTATTGTTAATGTTACTGTAATATGTTTTACATATTTTTGGCTTCTTTAGTACCAACAATACATTTTGGCACAGTTTTCTCTACTGAGCTGTACATATTTGGGATGTAAAATAGGAAACCCTCATTGTCTTAAATGTGCTTAATAGCAAAAACAAACATTCCATTATTGTCTTTTTCTGGAAAGGAGTCTTGTTTTTTACTTGCGTAACAAAATTTGTACTTTTTTCATTTTGAGCATCAGCATCTAAGTGCTCTTATTTTTCACACAATTTTTTTCCATTCTAGTTATCTTCTTAAGATGACACAGTTTATGCTGTTTTCATAATGTTTTTTGTAAAAACATTGCAATGTAAATGCTTTTTTCTTTAAGGAAAAGTAGATCTGAAGGTGGAGATTATGGAGCTTTGTGACTTCAGTGGCTTTTTCCGTATGCTGCTGGGATATGGTATATGTTATTGACATGAACAGAGTAATTTATGGCTCTTTACACTAAATGGTTATTTGTACAGTTTATTTTCCAAAAATCATTACCGTTTGCTGCAAATATTGTAACTTTTAAGCCTGTTTTACAATTAATGTTTACACAATGCTGCTGTGTAGTTGAGCTGGAACTGTTTGTTCCAGTTTATTGAAAACCATATGTTACAAAGTTGCGAGTCAGTAGTATTCACTTTGAAGAGACATTCTCCTCTTATAATACAGACCCTTATGGGTATTACTGTAGCCTACATTTCCTCAGAAGTGATGGCTTTTTGTGGCTCAATGCTGTGACTAGCTTTTTCTCACTCTTTCAGAGGTATAGAGCTGTTTGGTTTGAAGTCCTAAATCCTGGAAAATAATTTTACAGGCATGTATTCCCTCTGGAATTCCTATGGGAATTTTTGATTGAGTAAAATAAGGTCTGTTGTTTACATTACTTGTTAGCTCAAGTTCATTAAATAATATTAAAGGAACTAATTTAATAGTTTATGCTAATGCTTCGTTAACTAATGTTAAGAAGTGGAACCTTACTTGGAAAGTTACCACATAAATAATACCTAAAATGTGAGAGAAATATATTTTTAAAACTAGAACTTGCTAAACAAGCTTCCGGATTGGCTTACAAATTGACATGATGACTGAATAGCTCTATTGGTTTGTATTCTGTAATATAACAGACATTACTGTTTACTGTGTTGTAAGACTTGTTTAATATCCATGTATATATTTGCTCTTTAAAGCTGAAGTGTGAAATTTCTGTGCCACTGATGTCACCAATTTAAATAGCAAAAATAGTTATTTTCACAAAATGCTCCCAGATAGTCCCACCCCAAACTCGCACCATTGGTTGAGCCAGTGTTGCTGTGTTGATCTGGATTGGATGCTTAAACATGGATTTGGGTAATGGCTTACTTTTACTTGTATCTGCATATTAAGATGAGATAGAAGAAAGTATTTATTTTAAACAAATTACACACTTCAGCTTTTTTATGTAAATAACCTACTTAATGTGCCTTTATTATGTGCTATGCTGTTATCAAATAAACATGCCAAGTATTGTCATTCAGTTGTGCATAGCCTTCTTTTAAAATGAAAGAAAAAAGGAAGATTTTTTAATTGCGGGTCTGTGAAAACAGAATTCAATTCTGTAAGGATTTTCATATGGAAGAGATATTCCAATTTATCATCCTAAATTTTGAATTTGATTGCATAAGATGTTTAACCTATTGACATGAGGAAGTTAAACATTTATGTTTTAAAATATTTTATATTTATTACTTTCTATTTATAGAAAGGAAAACCCACATTCCTTCACACAGCATGTGAAATGACTGCCGTTCTGCAAGGTGCGATCAAAATGGAGAATTGCCTCAAAACTACAAGTCCCAGAAAGCCTTGCGCGCAGTTTCCTGCATATATGGCCAGCTGACTTCCGGTGTCTTTAAATTCTCAGCCATTAATTTGCTCGAACGCTGCGAGTGAATTTAGCCACATCTGATCTGATTGAACGATGGATATACCCATCAGCTAGTGTTTGAGAAAAGCCCTGGACCATCAAACGACCGCTCTGGATCTGATAGCCGCCTGTGACTCGATCGAAACGGTCGTTTTAGGTCCTCTTTATTTTGTCGCAGTCAGAAATTATTCCAGCTCAAGGCCAGCGGTCGCGCGCACTGTTTCTCTGCTCCTACAGCCTTTCACATCTCTTCGCCTCATAAACTAGACACATCTCTTGTGTAATGGTATGTGTATCATCGTTTTGATGCTTCTTTGATTTTGGATCGTTTATATTTTTTCCTGCTGAACAGTCTAGGTCATCCTGGTTTGGTGTCTGATTTGATTTGCGGGCAGATCTGAATTTCTAACACAGATTCGGTCTCAAGCTGATATATAAAGCTGTTCCAGTAATGCAAACACTAGTTTTGCTTAAAGTCAAATAGAGCAAAGGTATGTGATGTGTTTTTTCCCCCTTGCATTTCCCTAAATATGACCCATCTTCACTCTGTTTGTTTGTTTATAAGCCATATAGAGTATATTGTTCATAAAGGTTGCATATCCTTTAAGGTGGTTCATCATTAATGAATTGATCTGATTGCTTATACTACAGTTTACTACCTAGCAGTTAACCAACTTTCTAAAAATTCACCAGGATGTTGTGAATCTGTTTATAGGAATGTCTTGTCATCTCGCCTACTGTATGTTGTAATACTATACCGTTTCTCTTAGTAAAGTCTCTCACCTAAGATGGTAATTAATTTTCTAGTGTTAATGCATTGTTGACCACTGGACTGTGTGTGGTAAACAAATCTGTTTGGGCATGTTGTGAATGATTGGCTTGGTGTTAGGCTGTACGAGGCAGAGAAAGGCCAGAGGGAGAAGACGTATACTGAGTCTTTGTGCCAGGGGTTGTGCTCCCCTCTTACTGCTGGTCACCCATCGATTCCTGGCTGCCTTCCACCTCTGATCACAGCCATGACCTCTCAGAGAGACCCCGACACAGTGAGTATATCAGTCTACATCTCTCTGTACATGATACATCATTGCACAAGTTGGCCTTTTCAGACATGCAAAGATTATATCAGAATGACACATCAAGTATCATCACATTTAGAGTGCATTCAAATCTTAAAGGTACAGTTCACCGATGAATGAGCATTGTCATCTACCTTTGCACTGTTTGCACTCATTATTTTGACTGTGGAATGCAAAAGGAGGTACTTAGTACAATGTCCATGCTGCTCCTTTCCCCTATGAAAGTGACCATGACTGTTAAGTTATGAAAGAGACAAAAATTGATCCATATCATTCATGCGCTATTTTCCAAACCCTCTGAAGCCTTTGGTAGCTTTATTTGATGAATAGACTGACATGTGCATCATTATTCTCTAAAAACTTTCTGCCCTAGTTTTTGTTTACACCCTGCATGTTTTATGCGAACTGAGGGTGAACAGATAATGACCGTTTTCAATTTAATCTGCATTTGTGGGGAGACATCATTGCCTTTTTGTGACTGTGAAACAGATTTCATTAGTTTAGTCTCAAATATGAGTAAACTTTTCCTGAAACTAAAACTATGGTGAAAATATGATTCTGTTTATTGAAATAAAACTGAAATAAATATTAGATGAAAAACTATAACTGAAACAAAAATAAGTCCGTGCTAAATATAAATATTAAAAACTGACAAAAGGTTGCAACAAATGACTAAAACTTAGTGGAAAAACTGAAAATTAAAAATATAAATATAAAAGCCAATTCAAAATATTAATAAATAAATTACTTAATACTATGTAAAATAACCTGCAAACAATATTAAAAATAGCTGACCCGTTCTTGTTAGTGCTAAAATGGGTGTACATTAGAGAAGTTGTAAATCTGAACTTTTATTTGAGGCTGAGGTTATAAAACGAAGCTTTTATGTTGCACTCACAAACCTGCTGTTGCCTTGAGATTTGTTGTTTGCTGAACCTGTTTGGTTCAGCGTTGGGTTTAGTGCCGTTATTTGAGGGTGGGGGCAAATGGTAATGACTTTAGGCTCTTGATTTGGGGATGAAAGCCACAGGATTGAAGATATTGCAGAAAATATATAAGCCGTGTGATTATTGAGGTGTTTACGTACTGGTTCTGAGGCATTTAGGCAGCTTTGGTGTTTTGTATTTTTCAAGGCTTTAAGAACTGGGGCAGCAGGGAGTGCTTATTTGTTTGTTATGCTCTCTTGTCTGTATTACCCGTCACAGATTTGCTGATAACACCCTTAAATCCACCCTAGGAGGCTGGGAGAGGGCTTTCCATGCCTTTATCGGGGGCTTGGTGTTTGTAAACAGTGTGCTGGAATGACGTGGTGGATTATGGCTTGATCTCTTTTGTTCTCACTGCAGGTCCCCATAGGTGAAAGCTGAATATTTCCAAGTGTGTCTGATTGGGGGTGGGGTGCCCTACATTGCAAATGCCCTCAGCAAAGGAGCCTGATTTCACAATAGGTTAGGGCAGGGCATTGGGGGGCGCTTAGGATTTAGGTGGCACGTGGTGTGAGAGGATGAGCACAGCTTTGTGTTGGGAAGAGGTCGTCCTTTTCCTGTCATGTTATTTGATTGCTGCCACTATTTGGGTCATGACCTGGGCTGCTGATGAGCTGGATCCACATAATGTTTATATTACCATTTAGCATGTTTGACACAATTTGAATAATTCAGTACTAATATAAGCAGTTGTGATAAGTTGTACTTACACACTTTTAGAGGAACTGTGTGTCTCTTTTCACTTCCACTTTCTCAGAAACATGGTGAAAGTTTCTCTGGTCCTCTGATTGGTTGCATTGTCTCCATGAAGCTTGTTTTCCTTAGTTTTTGTGCTCGGTGTTGTATGTGGCTTTAAACACAGCAATGCCAGGACAAACTGGCTCACCTTCCCTCAGCCCCGTCCCCTGAACAAGAGACTCTTTGGAATCTCTAAGTTACTCTTGAGTTCCTGGTCAGATTTTATTTTTGGGCTGACATAGTAGCACTCTGTGTCTTTTCTGTTCAGACATTGAGTCTTATGATGCTGCTTAGTTTCAAAGAGGATACTGCCAAATTTATTCAGTCACTTGCCTAATTTGCCTAAATCAAGTATGCGTGTCTTTATTGCAAATCTTAAACCTTTGAATGAATATTGTTGCAAACTGTACTGATTTAAATTTGAAACCACAGTAAAATTGTAAAAAGTCAAAATTGTGTGAATAATTTGTGAGAATAGTCTTGGAACAATCGATTAGAATGAGTTCAGTAAGATTTGGCGATAGATAGATAGATAGATAGATAGATAGATAGATGGATGTCGGCAGTAAAAATCAAATCATCCTTATTGTTGAGGCAGTAAATGTCAGATGTATCTCTTAGATGTATGAAAACTGTCATGAAGCGTGTGTTGGCCTGTGGCAGAAAGCTTTGTGGTGTTATTAATACCGACTGTAGAGGCATTGTGTCTGTCTGTTGTTTTTTTTTATTAGGACTCACGCATGGAGCACATTTATTGTGCTAATCCACTGTGCTGCTCCCCTCCTCCTTCAAGGGGTTATGCATGCCCTTTTTTTTTTTTTTTTTTATGCACAAAACATTTTAAACTTGTGGAGGTCCTATGCAAAAACAACTGTCCTAGTTGTAAGAAATGATGACATTTACAGAATTTTTGAGGGAGCAGTCACTTTAAAATATCTACACTACTGTTAAATAGTTCATGGTCAGTACAATTGTTTTTTCAATAAGGATGCATTAAATTGTTAAAAAGAGGTTTTTTCTTTCAAATAAATGCTGTTCTATTGAACATTCTCTTCATGAATCAATGGTTTCCTATAAAAAAAGTCACATCTGTTTTCAACATTGATAACAATAAGAAATGTATTTTGAGCAGCAAATCAGCATATTAGAATTTTTTCTGAAGGATCATGTGACTAGAGTAGACTAGAGTAATGGCTGCTGATAATTCAGCTTTTGCTATTGCAGGAATAAATTACATTAGTGTTAAATGGAAAATAATTATTTAAATTGTAAAAATGTTTTATGATATTACTATTTTTACTGTTATTTTTGATCAGATAAATGTAGAAGTCACTTGAGGATAAGAGACTTTTTTCAGAAACAATCTTACTGACCCTAAACTTTTGAATGGTAGTGTATGTCGCAGATGTATGGAGAAAATATTTTCTTATTGCTAATTTACTTCCACTGTATTTCATCTGTGGTAACATACAGTCAAACACTGGGGTCAAATTATGGTCAAAATATGATAATTTTTTTTCATAGTAAAGCATCATGAAAGCCTGTTTCTGTAGTGAATGTGATGTCCTGTGTTGCAGGCTGGGAGGAGGAGAGCGTGAGCAGCCCCAGCATCCTGAGGCTGATCTTCCAGGGCCGCTTCCTGCATGGTAATGTCACACTAGGAGGTGAGCAGTAGACCTTGTCTTCATGTCCGTCACGGTGTGTCTCTGTTACTTTGCCTTGCTCTAGACACCATTACACATTTTTGTGGACAAAAAAGGACTGTGAAAGTTGGAAGTTGTTAAAATATGCTGTAGGTCAGAAGCTGTGTTTTTACTGCGCAAAGTGACCAAGTTGTGTGCCGATATTCAGTATGTAACTTCTCTGTTGAATAGCTCTGAAGTTGCCCCCTGGCCGAACAACTGTCATGCACTTGGTTGCCAGAGAGACGCTGCCAGAGCCGAACTCCCATGGTAAGTGCTGATATTCCTCTGGCAAGCTCCTACTGCTCTAAACATGGCTGAATGTCCTTGGCTTGCTTATCATCCATATCCACTTTTTGTTTTAAAGACAAGGGCACAGCAGTTATTGGAGGACTGCTGCCAGGTGGCAACTGGCTCCAATCTTCCAAACACATTATAATAATTAAGAGGCATGCGGTCATATTAGAGACTGAACACTGAGCTTTATTCAGTCACACACTGTAATACAAGATGTCTGTAACTTATCCGTGTCATTTCCTGTTTGACGAGTTGTGCTGACTCTTTTGAAGCAAGCTTCAAATTCATGACGACTATTGTTACATTTGAAATGAGGAAGCAGGTTACTTGCTTTGATGTCTTCAGAATAAATTATAGAAACGTTTCCTGGCAAATGACTCCGCATTCACGCTGTCATTTTACTGTAGATAGTTAACGTGAACTTAAAATGGCCCATTTTATCCCACAGTCAGTTTTAAGTTTCCTTGATTTCATGTGAAGTCAACATGAAAACAGGAATTAGCATATTTACTATATTAATATGCTAAAGTTCGGGGTCAGTTTCTGTTTTAATATTTTTTTTAAATGTAATTTATTCCTGTGATGGCAAAGCTGAATTTTCAGCATCATTACTCCAGTCTTTAGTGTCACATAAATAGTTCTAATATTCTGATTTGCTGCTCAGAAACTTATCATATTCATGTTTTTGCAGAGATCATGATTTTCCAGGATTCTTTGATAAATGTAAAGTTAAAAAGAACAGCATTTATTTGAAATATTTTTGTAACATTTATTAATGTCTAAACTGTCACATTTGATCAATTAAGGTGTGCTTGCTGAAGTATTAATGTCTTTCAAAGCACCCCAAAAAATCTTGCCGACCCAAACTTTTGAACTGTAGTGTATGTCCTTGGTCTTACTATGAACGCTTCATCAGTGTGTGTTATTCCAAAAAACAACAAAAATGTGTTTGTCATTGTGATCTTTCAACTTACTCCACTTCGGAATTGACTTTTACTAATCCTTTACAGCTGATGTCACCTTGGCTGTGCACTATTGGTTACTGTTAACTAGGGCTGCAGGATATATCGAAATATCGCAAATGTAAATATCGCAAGGGCGTGCGATATCTGAATCCTTTTAATAATAGGCTACTTAAAGCAAAACGTTGCAAAAGGTCAAAGTTTTAGTTCGACGCATATAGCAGAGAATTGCTTGACGTTAAAAAGAGTTAAGTGCAATAAGTTGCAGAAAACAACTCTTTGCCGTCTTGTCTTGCTGTCTGATAGACTCGCACCTGAAGCGCGCGCACAAGTCGCATCTCACACAGCGTCTCTTCAGTTCTGCCGCACACGCGCGCACACAGAGACGCGTTTCAGACCGAGTTGATTCGTCTTTCGCATCTCCTTATGTTTGAACACACATACACACAGAATTATGTCAATAGTACCCGTCTCGACGATCATTCTCGTAAACGCAGTCGGTTATGTTT